CATCCAATCAAACGCATTGTGAATCCGAAGGCGCCACCTCACATCCCTAGCGTCTCGACGTACACACGTTAAGGCAAAAGCAAATAATCGACTATTGACGTGGGCAACCACTTTGTGTAATGCATTGCGTGTCGCGCTAGTTACAATCGCCAATGCATTCGGTACAAAATTACTCCGACGAAAATTGGAAATGTCACTTTGCATCCGAGCGCATACCTGTCAAACTTTAACGACCATTTTTACTATTTACGTTCGATCGAAGTTCGTTTAAAGAGGAAACAATATATTTCAATAATATTAATTGGAGTACCAATACCATTTATTTGTAGACTTATATTTTTAACAAAGCGCGCATATTAAAATACTCATTTTATTAGAGCAGAAATTAAATTAAGTACAAATAAATACAAATAGTATAGATTTAAAAAGTTATGTAATAGACAACACATGCGTTTCTTTTAGCACTCGTACGTAAATTATGTTAATCACAGTGGCGCATCTAATCATTGAGCAACGCGGTCAAGGCAAACGAGTATTGTCTACTAATTGGTTTTTTTTTCCTATAGATTATACTTCCTTCATCAATATTCAAGTAGTAAAAAAATGATAATTTCTGCAACATTATATAATACAATATAATTTATGTAAATATAAATAACAGCATTTGATTTTTTCCGTACTCTAAAAGTATTATATTGTATTTTCTCTATTATAAAATGCTTTTTAGAATACAAAACATTCTAACTTTTCTTATTTTTTTTAACAAAAATAATTTTCCATTTTTTTTTCGTGGCTTTACTGTCACGCTGTATTATCTTTTCATATTCTTCACACGTGAAGAGTGTAGATGTATATTTCTTTAGCACTACTAATCGAAAGACGACATCTAAAAACTCAGTCAATAATATTCAATAGAAATAATTAACAAAGTAAATATATGTATAAGTTAATCGCGGATTAGCAGTTAATACAAATATCTTTGGAGAACTAGTTACATTTATTACATCAGATGTAATAAATAAAGATATAAGGTTTCATGTTGAAAATGAAGTTATTTGTGCTATATTATGTTACAACAACTTGTCAGAGATGCACAATACAGATCATCTCGCGCGAGATAGAGAGAAATCTTCTATCTAAAGTTTCCTGGCACGTACATATAAACCTCTAACAACAGACTGCCGACAGAGTTGCCTGTCAACAGCATGTCGACAACAGACGCGTATCCAACATTCTCGAGAATCATCCCCAAGGATATTGTCTTCTCACTATGTCTATCTCGATACTGTCCAAGATGCATTTCCTCATATGCCATGTCCTTTCGCAATTTACTTGTATTTTTTTGCGACTTTTAGTTTACCTTGTACAACACAATGAGATAATACAATTCATAAGACTGGTCGCGATATAATACGGTTCGCGATGTTTCCATTAAAGACATTGAGCTTTCACTAAAAGATTCATAACGTTTATTTCAAAGAACATTTCTTTTGATGTTAAAATAATTCTTTTGATATTACGTTACTGCGTGAAATATAATTACAATATTATTGCATTGTATTTTCATTATTTAATATATAAAATATCTTACCGTTGCAATTTTGATAAAATAACAATACTTTATCTTATTCAAAATATTAAAAATATAAATTTAAATTATAAAATTAATCGGTAAATCACACTCTTGAATAAGAGTGGCAAATTTTCATTCTTTTTTTTTGAAGTGAGATTTACAAAAGACTCCAAAAAAAAGAAATTTTACTCTTTTTTTTTAAGTGAAATCTCACTTCAAAAGTGAGAAATCTCACTCCAATAAAACAGTGAAAATCTGCAGTTCAAATTTTTCACTTTATTTTTCAGTAGGCAGTATTTTAATTCTTTTGGAGTGAGATTTCACTTCAAGAAATTTAGAGAATAATAAAATGACTTAAATGACACGGATGTAGCAGTCTAGTGTACTAACTACAATGTAGTTTCTTTCTACTGTAACAAAACTCACGGTGTAAAAAAGCTTTTTATTTTCTTTTTTTCTTCTTATTACCTCATCTCTCTTCTTGTCTCAACTTGACGGACAATAAGCGAGTACACGGTCTGTCATTAGTCTGATGCACAAATAGACAACTCGCGCATGCACTACACCTGTAAACGGAAAACTGCGCACCTGTAGTGACGAATGGTACTATCCGCATATATGGGTCACCTTTGTGTCAGCAGGTTGGTTTTGTGAATCACTCGTATTGTTTCTCTAAAAAAGAGTCGATGCATCGAATTTGAAACGGTTTTCTTGGCTCTATGTTTGCGACTAGAAAATTTTGTGAATAATGCATTGTTCTTAAAAGCAATCCAAGCTAAATCATTCCTTTTGCATCATTACATTTCTTTCTATAATTATTTTATATCAAAGAAAATCTCATTATTATTTCACATCTTCAAAATAAAAAGTTTGATGTCTCTTTCATATAAATATAATATATTGCTCAAAAAAATTATGGCATAGAAAAATTGTGGACAAAAATTGATCAATTTTGACTAATAATAATTTTACAAAAAATTATCGTAGAACAACGTTTTTTTTTTAAATTAAAGTTTGAAATCTCTACCTTAAGACGCTAATGGCCAGATTTTAAGCTTGATACACCCCTGCTACTGTAACCACTCTCAAAAATATGAGAATGTGTTTGTTATATTAAAAATTGCAAAGTTTAATGGAATGCATGGACTTTGTAAAATTTTTTGAGGAATGCTGCCGTTTGCAGCGGCATAAAGTTCGAACTTTTCCTTTTAATTTAAAAAAAAATGAGTCGCTGCGACTTTTTTTGCAAAGATATAGCACTTTAAACTTACACTTGAATTTTTGACATATAGTATTCCGACATTACCTGCATGTGACCAGATATGCGTCACGACGAGATTGCTGAATGGATTTTGCACATCGTGTTTTTGCGTGTAAAGTTTAATAAAACGTGTTGCCTCTGCATTGCTCAAATCTGGAATGACATTCCGCAGGAAGAAATTATAGGCCTGCATTAATATGAGGAATCGACTGCAAGCAGTAGTCGAGAAATGCGGAGGCAACAAGCATTATTAAAATTTACACGCAGAAATATGATATGCAAAATCTACACACACGCAGAAACGTGCAAAATCCAGCAATTTCGTAGTGCATATCCAGTAATGCAGGTAGTATATGTAAAAAATGCAAGGGTAACTTTAAAGTGCTGTGTAACAGTGAAAAAAATCGCAGAGACTCGTTTTTTTTTTAATTAAAGGGAAAAGTTCGAACTTTATGTCTCTGCAAACGGCATTCCCTAAAAAAATTTTACAAAGTCCGTGCATTCCGTTAAACTTTGCAATTTTCAATACGACAAATACATCCTCATATTTTTGAGAATTACAGTAGCAAGGATGTATCAAATTTAAAATCTGGCCATAAAGTAGAGATTTCAAGTTTTAATTTAAAGAAAGAAACGTTGTCCTACGATAATTTTTCGCAAAGTTATCGTTAGTCAAAGTTCACCAATTTTTGCTCACAATTTTTCTATACTATAATATATATATATATATATATATATATATATATATTTGTAAAGAGAAACACATCAAAATTAGGATATATTTTGATTTTATTGATTAATCTAATGATTTTGCAAATAACATATTGTTAATGTGACCTTGTTAATACATCTTTTAAATTGTGTCAGAATTTTGCTTTAGCGAATATTATCGCTGCATTCAGGGATACATCACCATCCTTACTCTTTTCATCCGTAGAATACGAATAAAATTGAATAGCGAGCGGTGTCGGAAAACATTCCAGATTCTTTCATATGTAAAACTATGCCGAAATCAGCCATGTATTATTGTGTCGAACGTATGCATTTAATAATAAGAGAACTATTCGCATAATTGAAGTATATTTCGCTATTTTATTGCTCTTTTATTTTCATAACAAGCTTATTAATATTATAACTGTTCATATAATTAATTTATGATAAAATCGACTTAATAATTATTTATTTTTCTACGAAAGATTAATTGATAATTGATTGACCATAATTCTTATTTTAATCATTCAAAAATGTGAATTTGTATTCAATTTATATTGTTATATGTCGAGTTTCGTTTTTTAACAAATGGCTTATACATAAAATCGAGAAACGAACAGCACTGAAGTGGAAACACGACAGCACCGAAATCCCGGATACAACCATGTCGCGAGTGTGTGCACAGTCAAGAGGGCAAGCAAGCACTCTCGCGTGGTATCGAGGTATCTCTTACGAGTAGTTGCAAATATGCAACGAGCAAATAACGACAGGTAACGTGGTGACGACATACCTTGTATCAAGGAAGTGGAAAATAAGGGTAGAAACACAAATGTACGCAGAGTGGTCTCTCTGTCTCGTTTTTTCCTCGATTCAATTTCTCCGCTGCACATATATATACGAATACATGCTACTCCTTTCCCGAGATAACATCGATAACGTACGAGACACGTTATTCGCGTATCGAAATTCCGATCGTCCAACGTCACCTTTGTCTAGCTCGAGCGACAAGCGAAACGTTCTCTGATCGTTCTACATGCGTGTCAGCGTGTTTCCAGTTTGTGGGATTCCTTTGATCACAATTTTAAACGTAAATTGTGGTTTTGTAATAGAATTATGTCTCACAGAAAATAATCTTAATCACAAAGAAAGTAACGGTTGTAACACCATCTATCTTTTTTTATCTAGAGGAATCAATAAATATGAACAATTTTCTTATATATTGTATATTTGCTTCTGTTTCGATCTTTCGAAAAATCTAGACAATTTTGTTTAGATTTCTTTCAAAATTTCATTCGTTAATATCGTTTTTTTAAATTAAAATATTATTCAAGATAATTGCTTGTTAATAATCTTGAGTTACTGCATCGACAAAAGTATTTAATTTCGTCATATATTATTACTCTGTATTTTCCTTATTCCCATCTACGCTTAAAATTGTTAATAGTATAAACTCACCACCATCACTGCGCTGTGTAACGCCTCTCTTGTCCCCTTTTCCCATATTTCCGTCTTCCGCTTTCTTCAAGATAAGATGCTCGTTCCTTCGATCCCACCTAGAATCCAATTGGAAAATATTCCGTTATTTTGTTATATTTATTCCGTATATGTAAATGAGTATATATGTATATGTACGTGTGTGTATGTATGTATGTGTGTGTATATATAGAGTAAGTCTGATAAAACGTTTACCACGTTTTTCTTGAAATCGATTAGAAATAGGAGGAAGACAGTTATCAAAATTTTAGGATAAAAGAGACATATTTTGATGACCTTGAGTCTTTAAATGTCCTTGGTTTTTATACTACTAATAAAAAAATTTTTTTTAATTCAGCACCATCGATAGAACGAGTAAAAAATACTCCTTCCCATTAAAAAAATTTTTTTATTGATAATATAAAAACCAAAAACATCTAAGAATTAAAAAAAAATTTAAGATCATCAAAGTATATTCCTTTATTTGTCCTATAATTTTGATACTAGATGTTTTCCTCTAACCGTTTTTGAGAAAAACGTGGTGAACTTTTTATCAGATTCACCTTGTATACACACACACACACACACACACACACACACACACACACACACACACGCGCATATATACACGCATATACGTCTAGCTATTCGTGCCAGTTACACAATTCCTTTTATTCTATCGTGTAAATATAGTTTCTGTTTTCCGCACTGATATATAAAACCTGTCGCAAAAGATAAACAAGATTCCAACTGTGTGATATAAAATTGCAATCGTTTTTTTCGATTACGAAAAACATCATGCGAACAGTGTTGTTTATACAATGCCCGTGGCATCAAGTTTAATACAGTTTATGAATAGATATAAAATAATATTTGAGGATTGAGAATTATTTTGAAACATTTAAAAATCCTAACTAGTCGCCACGGCCGTATTAGAATAGTGATATTATAAGCGAGAAATAATACGTTAAAGTTTCTTGCATGCCATTTATTAAGTCAAAAAAAGAATTTAAATGAAACAAAATAATTTACTTCATGTACTTTTTACGACTATTTATTGACTATACAAATTTCTCTGAAAAGTATAAACATGATAGTTATAATTAATAACGTTGCCACTATTTGTCAATCTGATTTATTCTTTACACTAATTATAAAAAGAAAAGAACAATCTTTTTAATATGATTCAATAAGGTTCTCCTAAAAATGTGATAGGAGCAATTCTCTCGACCGTCTGTAACTTCAGTTTAAAGCAACGTAAACCTGATACTCACAAGCACGATATTATATGCCAAGAGGGGAGACAAGAGAGAGGACGAAAAGAGAATCTCTTGTTCGCAATTTTGAATTTCACGAGCCTTTGTGGCACCATCTCTTGTTCCAGGCCGGATCGAATTTACGCATGCATCACTGTGGCACTAAAACCCACACTAGTAACGCCAAGGGAGCCTTTTAAATTGTCGAGACAGTAGCGTTAATTTTGTACTAGATCAATAATGTCTTATTTAAAAACTAGGATGTACAGATAATTACCATATAATAGCGCAAATTTATAAGATAATTCCAATTGTTCGAAGTTTTAGAATAATTTGCTGTTGTTATTATTCCGAGATATATTTATTAGCCATTTAAAACCATAATTAGGAAAAAAAATTATTGACGAAGTGTGAAATGCTTCAAACATAATGTATCTGGAAGAAAATGCTTGCACATTGCACGTGCAACATAGATATATTAGATATCATACTGGTTACGTGTTATTGATGAAGAATGACTCTGTTAATAATATAAAACGGAGACGCGTGATTCTCTTTCTTTGTCTACTCTTCCTGTTGCGATCCATAAATTTTCGAATGTGGAAAAGATCGAAAAAATCAAAAATTTTACTTGATATTATGTATTTACATTTTTTCAATAAATTATTATTGCAATAAATGAATCATGACATGATTTACGAACTAAGTGATAGTCAAATATCTTATAATTTTATTGGTTTCTCTCTTTACCGCTGATATAAAAATATTTTATTACATTGTCATAGTCAAAGTGTTAACTCAGTAAATGTATAGGGTAACTCCGGTATACAAATACACCGTATCTATCAAAAACTTAATTTATTAAGTATTATTTATCTTTAAAGTAAACGAACTATATCAATAAAACTTTGTACTGTCTACTATTATGAAAAAATATTAGAGATCCGAAATATTTATATTAAAAATATTTGTATTAAAAAATGAACTTTTTTAAATCCTTGCATTTTTGCCGTATATCCCATAGGAGTGGGATATATGACTACTTATAGAGGGGAGGGAAGTATGTATTCATAAAAAATTTACAAATAATGCATATAAATAAGACGTAAAATGACACAATAACTTATAAAATGCGCTTATAAAGTTTTATCAAGGAATAAGAAAAAATGATAAATATGTAAAGTAATAAATAATAATTACAATCTTCCCAGATGCATTACAAATGTTATGACATGAGGTACATATTTCATGTAATGCGTTTATTGTATTTAGTGCACTGAATTCAATCTGCACCCTCTTTGTATGTTTTGAGCACAATTTAAAATGCCTGCCCATTAAAAATGCCATATATCTCAAACACGTAAAATATACAAGACAACAAAGAATACAAGAACAAAGTACTTGTATTTTATTAAACTTATATAACATACTTTACTATTTCTCTACACTCATGTATCATGAAATACTAATATGTATCACTAAGTCTTTTGCACGTCCTACAGTAATTTTATGTAGATTATAATTTATGATGGCGTTACTTAACACAGTGACAAATCGATTCAACTCACAGTAATTTCATTAATATACAGTAAGAAACTGAAATCATAATATAATATAATATTAATATAATACAATACTAATATAATATAAAGGCATGTAACAGAGTAGCTGCGGGAAATTTACCTCCACACCTTCTATTTTTTCTGACTTCTACAGCGTAAATCCCAGTGCGGCGTATTTGCTGGAGATTATCCTATATTTACTGTAATCTGCTGTACCTAATCAATGTGTACATTTACTAAAGGTAACATTTTGACTGTGACAATACAACAGAAATTGGTTATTAGTTATTCTTGTTTCTGAATCAAGATGTATATTTAATCCCACAGAATTTTATTTTGGAAAAAATTAAACTGTTAAATTCTAATATAAAATTTTCGAAATATACGTAATACTAAATCATTTTCTGTGATAAATACGAAGAATTTTTATCATATATTTTTTTTTGAATTTTCTAAAATATAAATGTAAAAAAGAGATTTGAAAAGTATAAAATTTGAATAGTATTTAAAAAAATGTACAAAAAAGGGAAAAAATATTCGAAAAAAAATGTAAAGCAAAATTAGAGTTAAACAAACCGTGGTTCCATTTGCCTTTCTTTTCGTGATTTCAGTAAACGAACATGACACCAGAACGTAAATTAAAGGATAAATGGTATGCAACATGTCGATGTCCTAAGTTTTAGGCCACGAGGGAACGCGATAGGGCTCAACACGCTCTCACGTTAAACGATCGAGGATACGGCACGCCATTTCGACTGAGAGTTTCGCAACGCTGTTACGGCGCTTCCGGACGAATAAGTAACGAGTTTACGCTCGCAGGATTTCAATTTCGCGTTGAAAACTTATTGGAACACTATCATCGTATTCTTCGTTCTCGCTCCTAACAAGTTGCATTGAACATCAAGTCTAAAATGTAGCTGACTACATTTCAGGCAAATGAATAATCATGATGACATGGCATTTAAATAGAAAGTCTTGTCTAATAATTTATAATATTTCTCTTGCGAAAAAGGCGCATTTATTTCTTAATATAATACAATTGAAAATTTGTATAAAAAATAGTCTAAAATGCTCTTTTAGATTATTTACAAAATATACTTCTTTGTTAAATATTCTAGAAATTTTTTATTAATATACATTTTATATCCTAATAATCTTTGGAAATTTCTTTATTAATTTATTTAACGTGTCAATTATATAGACTGAGATGATATTTTTTAATAATATATATATAAATATATATTTTTACGTTATTAAATATTAATCCTTTTTTCTCTTTTAAATATTTATATATAAAATATATTTCTTTAAACAATTAACAAATTACAAATGGGCCTTTAGGAAATCGGCGTTGTAATAATTCCGCGTTTATTTCGATTGATCTAAAACAATCCTCTATAAATAATATATTTGTCGATTAACTTTATCAGTAAATGTATTATACAATATAATACCATAAAAATCCACAGGATGAAAATTTTTGGATGGATTTTATGTAATACATTTGTGATTTTTGATGAAGGCTAGAAGTTAGCCGAAACGTTCGACAAATATATTATTTATAGAGGATTGTTTCAGATCAATCGAAATAAATACACAATTATTACAGCGCAGATCCTAAAGGCCCATTTGTAATTTGTTAATCATTTTAATATAAGGAATCTTATTTTATTGTAAGTATATTTCTCTAAATTATATAAATATTCATATACAGATTTAACTTTCCATATTTTATCCAGATTTTATCTTTACCAGAAAATTAAAATACATTTTTTGCTAATTCGCATAGTTCTACGTATGTCTTTAAAAAATATATTTTTTAAAATATACATTTTTAATATATATCTATAATATGTAAAGAGATAAAAGAGACTATTGTACTGCGAACTCTCATTCGAAATATTAATATTTTTGATAAATAAGTAAACACTGGAAACTTGATGCCGTACATGAGATGAATTCAATGGTTCCGAAGCATCTAATAAAAAAGGAACATACAAACGGCTCTATCTGTAGTTTTACCCATACAAGCATATATTTCTACTGTTTGCTATCATAGCTACATATTCGAAGCTTTTTTTAGCGGAATGATCGATTGCACTAGCTATCACGAAGAAGTCGGTAAACATTAAACCGAATATAAATTTAATATTATTACTTTACGTGCTAATCTTTACTAAATCTATTAATTTTATATTGGATTAGGAAAAAAGTTCCTTAATAAGTTGATAAAAAGGTTTTTTCCCATCAATATCTTCGTTAAAAATAATCAAAATTAAGAAAAAAAAAGGTTTTAAAGCTTGAAATTTTTACTTTCAAATAATTATTATACTATATTTTTTGAATTTATGAGTTTTGTAATTTTTATATACAGAAAATCACGAGCTGAAAAAAATAAAAAATTTTCTTTTTACTTTATAGGTCTGTAGTGTGTCCAAAAAAATTTGAACAAATTTTCGACTATCTATCGTGAAAACCTACAAAATCGTTTTTAAAAATATTTTTACGATTTTTTATTCCTGAGTTACTTATAAATTAAGTAAAAAGGAATTTTGACTGTATTGCTCGTAACTCCATTAAAAGTCATCGTATCGCAATTAAAAATACAGATTTTTAAAGCTGAAACATTACTCTATCAAGTGGTGTAATTACCAATTTTTTAAAAATAAAATATAGGTTGCTAAAAAATCTTTTTACCAATTTGTAAAGGGACTTTTTCCCTAACCCTAAAATATATTAAATATTATTAAAACATTATTTTAATTGTCTATTTGCATTATATATTTTACAACAATTTCCCATTTTTATCAAATCAAAATGTTAATTTACTTTTCACAATTATCATAAATTTATGTAATTAATAAAGAGTAAGAAGTGCAAAGAGATTCTCAACTCAAATCCTTGCATTCGAATGCGTCGTAAAAATATCTTGATCTCCACAGGCTTATAAAAAAACTAACTACATATATGTCATATTATGTACAGCACTATACGCGGAGTAAACGTGACCCGAGAAACTTCTCCTTCCTTTTCGACTTATCTCCGCGAAGAGGATTTTCCAATCCTGTCTGGCATGATCTCGCTAGTACGTCCATTGGACACTGATAAGAGATCGGAGATTTCTCTTTGAAGATTCGATATCTCGATGAAAGGTATCAACGGGACCTTCATTAAACCGGCCGAAGAGCGAAATGATGTAATCGAAAGATGAAATCCTCGTTACAGAACGAAAGATCTATACGATGTACATCCTGGAAACGAAAGACAGGAACAGCATGCAAGAGCCGCGACCGAGCCTAGAGATCGTTGCTATCGGAGAATTTCGCAATTTCCGGCTGAATCCGACAATTTCCTCTCGGCGACGCGTTCGCACGCGGCGCAGAACTTTTCGCGCGATAGACCGACCAGTTGGTCTAATTTACGTTATGGTCGCGAGACCTAAAATTGAAGAGAAAAATTCAGGAAGTGGAACGATCGAGGAGCAAACACCGGAAAACCGAAGAAATGTAACATTCATAGTACTTTGAAAGATTATTGATTTATATCAATAATCTAAGCATTTTTTAAATTTAATTATTTCTCTTTTTCTGAAGTGTTCTCCTTTGTAAAAGAATGTATGAATTAAGTAAAATACATATAATTATAAAATATAATGTGCATATTGTCTCTTTAATATAAACTTATTCCTCAAATTATACTGTGATTGTTACAAAAGAGATGGTTATTATTGATAGAAAGGGATTAACACTGTCCATCGAATGAAAAACAGATGCCAATATTTTATCATTGGAAAATTAATTGAATTTTTTTAAATTAACTTTCACAGGAATATTAAGAATATTTGAATATTTTGCATATTCACACATGAAAAGAACGGTTTTGCTTAAAAGTATTAAAAAATTTAGCTAAATACAGATAAAAATGATTATGTGGATTATCAAAATAATGATGTAGGTCACTCAAATTGATTGCTAGAATACCAAAATTTTTTGCAGCATTGCTCATTATGCTAGAGAGTCTTACATAATTCTATTTTGATCCAACAAAATTATTTTCAGATCTATATTTATTGAAATGTTGAGATATTTCAGCAAAATAGTTTTCTCCATGTAGAATAACTGATCCATCTAACAAAGTCTAACAAAACTTAATGCCCATGCCAATAAATCAGATCAAATAAAGCCCTGAGTGTGTCGTTAAATCGAATTTGATAATACTGGCTATCTTATGAAAACCAATAAATCGTGAAATTTATGTTGATCCCTTTCAACTCTTTCCTTTCCTTGACATTGTGCATTAGTGAGAAAATCCTCGATGTATTTATAAATTCACGGACGACTCGAGTTAAACGTTAGGAATTGTAAATAAAATTCGTGAAAAAATTATAATACCATTTGGATGATACACAGATTCTCTATGATATTGACTATTCTTATATAAAATATCGCTGTATTATGCGGTGTACATTGTATGTGTGTATATGTATATATATATATATATATATATATATATATATATCATATCATATCATATTCTTTTACATAAAATTGTAAAACGCAATTTTATTATACTACTTCAAGCAAATAACTTGTTGTCAAATGTATATAATGTTATAAAATATGTTTATTTTATATAAAATATGCACGTAAGTATGCAGTTTCTGTTCCTTCCAAAATAAATTCCAACGCATTCTTGCAATATTCTTGCATGTATCTATGATAAATATGTATTATAAAAAATAAAATTTAACTAAAATTTTTGCGTTATTCTAATTTTTGTACATATTAAATGTACGTATAAAAATATATAATTATCATGTTATGCATTGTGTTATGTTATATTAATTGTCATATAATTCTAATGTTGTACGTTTTCCTTACGGAAATATTAAAATTAATGTAAAATAAAATATAGCTTCGTTTATATGTTCTCAAGTTTAATAAATGACCACCGATTAATCATATAAAACAAAGACAAATAATCGATTAATCACACCGAAAAAAATTTCTGATTAAAAATGGACGAATCAGAATTTTCTAGTTAAATTTATTATGGAATTCTAGTTGAAGTAATCAGAATTCTGGTTAATACAATGTTTCTGTAAAATTTACCAGAATTCTCATTTTTATCAGAATAATTATATCAATCAAAATTTTAGCTATCTCACCTAGAATTCCAGTATATTTAACTAGAAAATTCTGATTCGTTCACTTTCTACCAGAATTGCTATTTAATCCAACCAGATCATTTTTCATCTTCTACTATAATAGCATTTTATTTATGATAATCCAAGTACATAATTGTTTGCATTTATTCTAAGAAATCTAATTTTATCAATTCAAAATCTCATCCGTTTTAATAAATCACAAGATAAAAACTACAATCATTTTCAATTGTAAGAATTCACTGCCTCGAGCTTATCGAGAAAAGTATTCCTCTCGTTTCTCATTTCTCCATTCATACTGGAAGTTAAAATCAACTAAGGACAACCTTTCACCAATACTTCAAACTTTTATTCTTTCATCTCCTTTATTATGTTCTTACTCAAGATTCATAGACTTACTATGACATTTTTCTTTATTTTCACAATCGTTCTAACTTAATAGTGTTTCTCACTTTTTATTACGTTATCATATCTAATTAATCTAATTTATTTCACATTATTATTTACACACGACTATTTAAAAGTATTAATTAACAACGATCCATTATCTTACATAAATTTTTCCATAAATTTTACATTCGCCAATATTTCAACGTACCATTGTAAAGCATTGATCTTAGCAATAAAAAAACTACTTCAGAATTGCTGCTATTGTTCAAACCAAAAAAAAATAATAGTTGTAAGAAGCACTAGAAAAATTTAAACATTAAACATAACTTTCTTTCTATTTTATAATATAATATATCCGAATATTTTTCTGTCTTGAAAAAAAATAATCTCGTTATATACTTATATAATATATAACTTTTCGATAAATTAATCCTTCATTCTCTACTGTGTGAATTCCATTTATCTTTTCTAATGCAACTAATCTGACATCGACAAGAAGACGAGTACACTTGACAGATTTCTCATTTCTTCAACGACGTTCGAAACTAACTTTTCTACGAAATTGAGATTCCTCCTAAATTCAGAGGTACCAATAACTCAGTAGCAACGGGAGTTAATATTAATTGCTCACCTTTATCTCGTGTTGCAACTCATCACGGACATACCGTCGAGAGCGCCTAACTTCCGTCACAGCACGACTAGTAGTCCACTCTCGATCTGCTACTCTTCTCTCGACGATTATGCGTGCCGTGCGAGAAGGGGGTAGTATCGCACCCCTTTCTCCCGCTCGGAAGATGCGCGACTGATGTGATGTTGCACGATATCTATCCGTTCATCGCGATCCTCGCTTTCTCTCTCTCCTCTCCTCTGCTCACTCTCTCCCTCTCCCTGTCCCTCTCTCTTTCTCTCTCTCTCTCTCTCTCTCTCTCTCTCTCTCTCTCTCTCTTTCTCTCTTCCTCTCTTTTTTTTCTGTTTTCACTTGCTTATCATCGTGCGTTGTGCTGAGATCGAATCAGCTTTCTCGCTTGTCGAGTGGACCACCCTATCAAATGTACATGTCTCTTGCCATTTTAGATTTTTGCATCCCGCAAGATAAGAACGGCTCTCGGAACCGACCGGCACCGACTGAACTCCTACCGGACGGCAACCCGACGACGGAGGACGACGTTCGTGCTCCTGCGCCCCGCAACCCTTGTCAAACGACGCGGCGTTGAGCGTCCTCTGGCATAAATTTCAAGAATGGATCAGCAAGGTTGATAATGTAAAATTCTTGCATCGATACGAGTCTACCAACATCGCATAATTCTCGTTAACGTTTAACTATAAATTACTGTTTTACTTAGATTCATAGTATTATATAAACATAAAAAATGTTTAAAAATGAATTATAATCAGTGTTACGTTGGAAGAATCTGTCTTATATATACAAATGTTAATGTCTCATTTTCTTTAAATCATGATTATAATATATTGTATCATTATATTAATTATCTTCAATAATTTTAACTTCAATAATATATTATACTATCGATTAACATACAATATTTGTTGAATTATTATATTAACAACTTGACTTTTAGTTATATACTTATTAAAAAATCAAAAGCTATATAAGTAATTTTTTTTAAAAACTAATTAAAAGGAATGTATTGTAACAATACAATTTTATTAGATATTTACTGTCTCCAAAATTTGGCATTTCCTAAAATGACTTCTTCAGTTTAATTGCATTAATAACAAAGAATTAAATTTTCTTTTTACTAGCTACTGATACAATAAACTAAAAGAGTTTATCGGTAGAGTAAGTACCAAAGAGTATGCTCGTACATCGATAAATAGCATCAATCGGTAGAGCCAATTCAATGATTAAATAATTGATCAAAATATATATTAATATTAGAAGAAAAAAATATAATAAGAAAATAAATCTAATTTAAATATTACACACTAAAAAAATTATTTATTTGACTGAATTAATTTAATTCATTTTTATTTCTTTTGATGGAGAATATATGTAGATATCTAAGCGAAAAATATATTATATTTTATACTTAACTTAAAAACATATATTTTCCAATGAAAGACGTGAAGATATCTAAATTAATTTAATCAAATGAACAATTTTTTTTCTCAATATATAATATTACATAACATTATATATATATATATATAAAATGTTATGTGATATTGACAATGATGACTAAATATACCAGTCCCAGAGAACAAGATATTAAAGATTTATAAAAAATAAGGCAGAAAAATATTCATTTAAAAAATTGACAAGACCAATATTATTATATTCTATACAAAGTCCAATAACTTGTAATTTTTGTTTTCACTGTATTTAATTTTACAGTCGTATTTGTTCTTAAACATTTACCTTGTTTTTATGACCAGAGAACAGGAGAAAATGTATTAGAGGAAATTTTCATGGGAATATTCTACAACTCTCGATCGAGTTTAAAAATGTTACGACGCACTCGTCGCTAGAACGCATTCGTTACCAATTAAAGTGCATAAAATATTAAAACCTCAGTATGATATTATCGTTACGGTGCATTAACGTATATTTATGTAGACGTTAACGACATCTGAATATAAGAGCAACAATCACTCAAATGTAAAAGGCTGAAAAGCAATATCGCTTAATTTTTCTGTCATATCACTTTTATAGCGCGGTATCATTCTAATCTTGTCTATTTCTTCATTTATTGTATTATCAAGCAGTAACTTGAACAGATGAGTTAAAATAATTCACAATTAAGTCTTTCGGAGTCAAACTCGAGAGAGTCTGACTCGACGAGATCTTTAATTATCCGTCGTAAGGAAATATTTGCGTAGCAATAATCGTGACTAAATATTCATTAACTTTCGATACGGGGATCTACTTTTGTCTTTTCGCCGGCAGGCTCGCCATGAGGAAATAGAAAAAACACCCTGTTCTCCATCGAATGATTCATAATTCATAACTCGTTATATCTATCTACTCCAGGTGATTCCAGGCAACATCGGGCCCTTATGCATATTGATACTTTCGTGAAAGCGTTAACTCGTTCCCCCCTGAACACTTAAACGTCGTGTTGTCGTAGAGATGTTTGCGCATAATTCCACTCATCATGTTTAGATACCCGGGTGTTCATTCGCATGCCCCCGGGAAATGTTTGTGCAATCTTTCCCGATGATATCTCCCCCTCCCCTCTGAGATGACAAGTTAACCGATAAATACTTCGCTTCGTATTATCTTACCACGCTTTCTTCCTCTTTCCTCGTTCAATGGCGTTTCAGTAGCAGAGCAGGGATTGACATCGCTTGCTTGACGGCAAAATGAAACTCTTCGATGCTATCTCCTTCTGAATAAGCATTGTTAACCCTTAAATTGATAAATAGATTGGTATTCTTGATATTCTTTAAAATCTCGTTCTGAAAAAGGAAAATAAAAAATATTGTACTCACAGAAGTTTAAAAATTCATTATTTTTACACACATTTCTTTATCACATCTAATACTGACTAATTTAATATTGAAAAACAGTATCACTTATTTTAATAAGTTACTTATTTTATTAAAAACTTTATTTAGTTGCTTTTAGTATTCAAATAAATAATTAATTATCTAGTGTTTTTCAGTACCTAATATACTAATTGATTAGTATTAAATGTCTGTAAGGGGAATAAAAATATAAATGTGAGTTGTAAAATATAAAAATACTAATGTAAGTTGAAATATAACATAACATACTAGTAAAAAATATAAATATAAAATTAAAATAGTTTTTGGGATGTTTTAAATCTACTAACTTGTGTCTTTAAATCACCTATTAATCTATTTAAAGATTAATCTATAATCTTATATCGTTCGAACGCCATAATTTCTTCGATACTTCTTCTCGAATAATAAGACATACGGAACGAATAGTACAACTGCAACAATCGCACAACACCTGATTCGACTTATTTAGTACTTCCAAGATACGTCTACGTCTCGTATGGCTCGCGTTTCCGCCATTGGTTATATAACGCGCGTTAACCTTCTCTGGTGCGCGAGATTCACTCGACTCTCGCATGCTTAAATGACCATTGCCTGTCGTCTAATATGTACGATTAGACCCGCCCGGTGTTTGTTTATATACGCGAGAATAATCGAACTTACCGTATTATCTCGAAATGTAACGACGAAATGTCGACGTGACACGGTAAAGATCTACCATAGTACTCCTCATCTATTGATGAGCGATACGAACTTGGCGACAAGTGATGATCGCCGAGCGACTTCACGCTGTTTCTCCTTCGAGAACACTTTCAACAAGATTCGCGGAGTACTCGATATATCGACTATTCGATATGCAATTTGACGATACAATTTGCACGCCGGATTCATTTCCGAGAGAGAAATGTCGTTTGTAAAACACGAAAGAGAGACGTGAAATTCAAATACGTATAATTTTGATTGCGCAATACGCACAACATAGCACAACAGAAAAAATGGTTTTATTGAAGTACCGATCTAAAAATTTAGCTAAATACAGATCTGAAAATAATTTCGTTGCTAAGGTATCAAACATTTTTTGCAGCGTTGTGCCTTCATGTTTGAGTTTCCTACATAATTATTTTGATAATCTAACAAAAGTATTGTATTTTTTCAGATCTATAGGAATCGATTATGTCTTGAAACAAAATGCAAATTTTAAAAGTGAGCAAATTTACAGTAAGCCTGTTCTTTTTAGTTAAACTTCTTAGTTCATCTTTTTTTTCTTTCTTCTCAACATGGAAGAACTTTAGTTAAAAAGAACAAACCTTAAGTGTTGAGTTGACCAATGAATTTACAAATATTCTAATAAGTTTGCTCCCCTTTTTGTAATTTTAATCTTGTTTCAAACTATACAACTAACTCTATACACACAGCTAAATTTTTAAATAATACATCAGCAGAATCGTTCTTTTCATAACATCATATTAGACATAAACGTGACTCACGAATAACGTAGGAAAACGACAACTTCAATTAGATTTCTAATCAACACTGCACGGAATGAAGCCAGATGAGATTTAGAGAGATTTAATTAATAATAATGCTTTTTGATACGAGATGACATGCGACGATCTCATGTTCATTTAACTGATTTTAACACATGCAAGTACTTTTAATTACGTACACGATTTTCATGAAGAGTGAAATGCAGCTAGTTTTCAAACCGATTCTCGATTACGACATATAAAATAACAGGGCTATTATTCAACAACGAAAAGTTACATCGATCACGTGACTGACCGTGCGACATTTTCAAATGTTACGTTACAGTGTCAGTTCAAATTTCGGTCGTGGAAATCTCGCATTCCGTAATTATGTGAATACACAAATTGACATAAGGCAATTTTTTCGTACCTGTACCAGTGAATGACAATTTTTTGAAATTAGATATTTTTTGTGCGTCTGATAATACGATTTTTACTAATGTATGTAGATTGATTTAATTTAATCTTGATGTACTCTTCATTTTTTTCTACTTCAAAGAATTAAAAACGGATAGATAAAAAAAAAGATGTATAATATTATTTACATCATGTTATAATCGATCACTGAGCAGTTAAATAACAATCATTTGAAAAGCAATTTTTTATTATAATATGTAGTAAATTAAAATATACATTATTCAATAAAATTAAAAGATCATCTGTTTCACTCTACAAAAATGGGCAAATTTCAAGAATAACTTCATAAAAAAATCATCGTATTGAGATGTTTGAAAAACCATTTTACAGCTTGAAATCTCTACTTTTCAAATCGATATTTAAAAAATCGGTCTTACTGATATTTTGTTAAGTTACACAAATATAAATGAAGTCGCATCGAATCTCAAAATTTTTTATGAAATTTGCAAAGTTCCACAGGGCAAATTAAAAATTGTACACA